CTTATCCCCTCCCTCTCCTACTTCCCTGTTGGGCAAGATAGATTTCCATACCCAACTGAATGTGTGTATATATTCTTCCCTTTTGAAGCAGTTCAGATGAGAATTAGGCTTAAGCATTGCCTGTTCCCCACCCCTCTTCCCCTCTACCATAAAAGCTCTTCCTTGTATGACTTTTTTATGTGAGATAATTTTCCCCATTCTTCCTCTCCTTTCCCCCTTTCCCTAGGGAATCTTGCTTTCTCACTCCTCCATTTTTTTGGAGATCATTCCAAAGTAGTTGACTAACATTCATGCCCTCTGTCTTTGTAGACTCCTAACTGCCTCAACAATGATAAAATTCTTAGGAGTTACATAGAGTTACATCTTTTCATATAGGAATGTAAACAATTTAACCTTATGATTCCTCTTTCATGTTATCTTTTTGTGCTTCTCCTGAGCCTTGTTTTTGAATGTCTAGTTTTCTGTTCAGCTCTGGTCTTTTCTTCAGGAATGTTTGGAAGTCCTCTATTTCATCAAATATCTGTTTCTTCCCCTGAAGGATTATCCCCAGTTTTGCCAGGTTGTAATCCTAGCCCCTTTGCCTTCCAGAATCCATTCATTCACCCCTTGTCATCTCAGTTGCAAAGTCCAGCTGGGTTGACTTCTCAGTATCTCCTTCATCCTCCTGCATCTCCATGCATGAGGGAGTCTATTGAGAATAGAGGTGAGGTTATCGCTCTTTTGCATTCTTCCCTGCTCAGCCTCTATCTGGAATACCAGATGTGGTCTGTGCACTGCATTTTAGGAAGGCAAATGACAACCAGAAAACTGGCTGAAGGAACTGAGGAGAAGAAAAAGCTTAGTGGGGACCATAGGGCTGGGTTTGTTTGGTTTGTAGACCAAGTCTCCTAATCTTTCCAACCTAGGCTGAAAGTGCTGCCACCAAGTTCTGCAGGCTGGCTGCTTTCAAGTGTTCAAGGAGCTGTCCAGCAGCAGGGTAAGCTTTGTCCTGCCTGGCCCTGGAGGGCAGAGCTAAGTGTACTGGGTGAATGTTGTAGAGAGGCAGATTAAGGATCTATAAGGAACAACTGCTTAACAAGTAGATCTGCCCCAAAGTCGATGTGAACTGCTTGTACTCAGGGTCAGAAGACTGATACTAAGTCCAGATTCTGCCACTAATGACCTGTATGACCTTGGAGGGGTCACTCTTTCTGGGCCTCCATTTCTTCATCTGTAAAATGCCGGACTGGATCAGAGTTTCTTAACCTGTGGGTCAAGACCCCAAATGGGGGGGCACCTACAGTTTGAGAAGTACTGAAGGAGTCGTGAGTGGAAAAAGATGACCTTTCAGCTTTAGATCTAGGATTCTGAGAGATCACTTCTGAGATCCCAGCTTGCTCTAAATCCAGAAGCCCTCCCAGGCCATCCTTCAGTAGAGGCTGGAGGACCCCTGTTTGGGGGCATCCCTGAGGGCATTTCTGTTTGGTCCCAGATGCATCTGATAGCCTTGACAGCTCTGAAGGTGTGAGCCTCCTTCAATTTGTCACTGCCCCAGGCTCCCGCAGCAAAGATATCTTGCCAACACTGCCAATGGCTTTCTGACTCCAATTGCTGTATGCTTCTCTGGCTTTTTCTGCTGTCTCTGGTTTCCTTTGGTTCCTGAATAAACTTGTTTGTGTTGTGAACTCTGTGTGCTTGTATGCCTTTAATAGAGCACGTTAACTGTGTCAAATTACCCAAGGATCTAAAAAAATAATTTTTAATAATTTCTCCTATCTGTACACTGCACTTTAAACACAAATACAAGCAGATATTATAATTTATTTTGAAACAAAAGCATTTTCATCCTGCTATCTCTAGTATATGCAGATGTGCTGTGTGAATTGGCCCAGCTCAATCCTTCAAAGTTTTTTTTTTTTTGTGAGGCAATTGGGGTTAAGTGACTTGCCCAGAGTCACACAGCTAGTGAGTGTTGTCAGTGTCTGAGGCCGGATTTGAACTCAGGTCCTCCTGACTCCAGGGCCAGTGCGCCACCTAGCTGCCCCCAAGGTATTCTTAAAATCAAGTCCTTTTAGTGTATTCAAGGAGCTGGTGACCCCACTACAGGTGTGTGAGGGCAGATGTTCAAGTTCCCACAATCATTTGGTCATGTGATACAAGGGTAGGTGCACCTCTGAGCAGAGCTGGGTGTATGTGTGTTGAGATTGAGGTGTGTGTGTTGGGGATGTTTGTTTTCACTGCACAGTTCTCCCAGGATTCTACAGTGCTTTCCCGATGCCTCCCCCATCTCCCATTTAGTGATGACCAGACGCTGGGCACGTCATGTTAGGGCCCCAGTTCCTCCCTCACAGGGTTCCTGTCCTTCTGAACTTCCCGATTGTTGCCAAGGATCCTGCTGCTCTTCCAGCCACCTGGGGTCACCTTGGCACCCAGGGGGGAATCCCTGACTCCTCATTTTCACCCCCTCACCCATGTCCAATCAGTTGCCCAATCTTGCTTGGTGACCCTCCTAATAGCTCTCTTCTAGGTAGCCCCTCCCTTGTCTGCAGTCCCACAGCTGACACCCCAGTATAGGCCCTCACTCTTGGACTAAAGAATGCAATAGCCTGATTAGAATTGATCTTCCCTTCCCCAGGGCAGCTGGGCAGCATAGAGTGCTGAGCCTAAAGTCAGGAAAATTCATCTGGCCTCAGACAGTTATTAGCTGGGGGACCCTGGGCAAGTCGCTTGTGAGGTCATTAGCCCCACTTGACAGATAAAGTGAGGAAGCAGCTTCCTCATTATGACAGCCCAAATCAAGAAGCATTTCTTAAGTGCTTACTAAGAACCAGGCATTGTACAAGTTCTGGGAATAGAGCACCAGGTCTAGAGTCAGAAAGATGAGTCCAAATCAGGCCTCAGGCACTTACTAGCTGTGTGACCCTGGGCAAGTCACTTCACCCTGTTTGCCTCAGTTTCCTCATCTATAAAATGAGCTGGAAAAGGAAATGGTGACCCACTCCAGTATCTTTGCCAACAAAACCCCAAATGGAGTCATGGAGAGTCAGAAAAGACTGACTATGACCCAACAACCCTCCCCAAGTCTCTCTCCTCTCTAACACACTCTTCACACAGCTGACAAAGTGGAATTTTTTAAAAACACAGGTCTGACTGTTTCACTCCCTTCTTCAGTAAATTCAAGTGCCTTCCTAAAATTTCCAGGATCAAATATAAATTCCTTTGACATTCAAAGCTCTTTGCAACCTGGCTCCAACCTACTAGCTGCCCTAATACAGAAATATCCTCAAACTGAGCTTCTTAGGATTCCTCATATATTGGCACTCCATCTCTGCTTCTTTGTCTTTGTCTTGGCTCTTACTCCTGTCTGGAACATACTCCTTCCTCACCTCCATCAGGATGAATGAGGACATTTTTATTAAGCATTTATTAAGTGATTAATGTTTAATTGATAAACAATGCTTAAGTGAAAAGCATCATAATATTGACACAAATATAGTGCCAAATAAGGAGCTTATACTCTGATGGGGAAACAACATACACAGGTGAATAGTGGTCAAGGAGGGGTAATTTGGTACCAGAATTTAAAGGGATACTGAGAGGGACCACAAGGAAGCCGAATCCAGGCACAGTGGCAGAGGTGATTTGTTCCTGGTTCTACTTTCCAGAACTGGAGGAGGAGGGGTCTGAGGAAAGCCTGCGCTCTTAGCTCTCTGGTGGTTGTGGGAATTGGCCAGACAGGGAGGAACAAAGTGAAATCCCCCTTCGAATCTCTAGTTTCCCTCAGGGCTCCGTCCAGCGCCATGTTTTACCAGAAGCCCTTCCTCTTCTAGTCATTAGGCGGCTTCTCCCCAAAGTTCCCTTGTTTATTTTGTATCTTATCTATGGAGAGATAATGTATCTAGTACGTGTGATAGCTATGCATCTATATGCAGTATATGTTGTATGTGAACTATGCAATGTGTACTGTGTATATTATATATGCCCATAAAGGGTGTCCCAAAATTGTTAGTGTAGTTTTAAGCTTTAATAGCTTAAAATTATATATTATTTAATTGATCTATCAACTATTGTTATATTATATATTATATTACTATATAATAAGGTACTATATTAGACTATAGAGTATGTTATATTCTGATATAAAATCTATTAATGTAATTATAAATTTATCGATCATTATTAATTACTATTTAAACGAATAGTTCAAAACTGTACTGATTTTGGGACCACCTCTTAACATACACCTTGTCTCCCCTTCACTTTTGTATACATAGAAGGCACTTGGTAAGGCAGGTACAGATGGTGCAGTGCACAGAGGAAGACCCGAATTCAAATCCTGCCTCAGACACTTGCTAGCTGTCTGATCCCAGGCAAGTCGCTTAACCACTGCCTGCCTCAGTTTCCTCATCTGTAAAACGAGGATCACACTAGCCTCTACTTCCCAGGGTTGTCGTGAGGATCAAATAAGTTTGTAGGGTGTTTTGCAAAGAGGTCTGGAAGTGCCAGCTGATATCATCGGTATTATTTGTAAGGTGGGGTAACCGGCAGCCGCCGCCCCAGAGCGCTGTCTCTGCGGATGCCGCCGGTGCTGATACATAAATGCTCGCGCGTGCACGGAGGGATGGATGCCCAAAGCCGGCCTCGAAAGGGGGGCTGTGGTCTCGCCATTACGGGGCTCAGCAGCCCAGAGGCTGCTCAGCGGGGGGTCGTGGAAGGCGGCGGGGAGGTGTGGGGTAGAGAGCGCGGCTGCCTCCTTAGGCGCCTGCGCCGTCGCCGGTGGCTGGGCCCGGTGGCTCTCCTCGGCGGGAGCGCCTGGGCGGGAGTGGGCGGGGCGTGCGGCGGAAGCAGCCACTCAGCGGCCGAGACGTGGCACCGCCCCAGTGCCGCAGGCAGACGTCGGGGGCGAGCGTCGCGCGCTCCCGCCGACCGTCTCCGCAGTCCGCAGTCGCAGCCTCGCAGATCGTCCGCAGCTCCCAAACGTCCGACTAGCTGCGCTCCAGCCCGGCCCCGAGCCCGCCCGCCCGCCCCCGCCTCCGCCCCCGCCCCGGCTCCATGGCGCCCGCGGCCCCCGCCCGCGCTGGGGCCCCGCTGTGGGGGGGCCGCCGCTGTCTGGCCCTGCTCGGCTCGCTGCTCGTGCTGCTGCTGCTGCCGCGGCCCAGCCCGGCCCTGGCCTGGGACCAGTCGGGTGAGGCCCCCGCCCCTGCCCCCGCCCCGGGAGGAGCTCTTCCCCCCAGCCCGCCGTCGCGGTCCTCTTCTGGAGGCGGCCACATCTCTCCTGAGACCGCTTCCTCATCCGCTGCTCGGGAGCTTCCATCCCTCCTGCCGAGGCCCCTCCCCCGTCATCCCCTCTGCTCCTGAGACCCCCTCCCCCCTCCTCTCGAGACCCCGTCTACCATCCCTTCCGCTGCCCGATCCCCCCTCCCCGCTCCCCTTCCTCGTCATCCCCCTCTCCTGAGACTCCCCCCCTTCCCGCTGTCAGCCCCCTCCTCTCTCATCATCATCCCTTCTACTGCCTGGCCCCCCATGCCCAGCCCCCCCTTCCCCTCTCCACCCTCCCCGCCGTCATCCCCCTGCTGTTTGTTCCCCCTCCCTCTCCCCTCCTCGCTCCATCTTTTCCGCTGTCATCCCCCTCCTCTCGTCGTCGTCATCCCCTTCTACTGCCCGACCCCCCCCCCCGCGTCATTCTCTTTTAGTCAGCCCCCTCCCCGTCGTCATCCCCCTCCACAGTCCTCTCTGGCCCCCTCCTCACTCCACCCTCCCCGCTGTCATCCCCCTCCCTCTCGTCATCCCCTTCCACTGCCCGACCCCCATACCCAGCCCCCCTTCCCCTCTCCATTCTCCCCGCTGTCATCCCCCTTCGTCTCTCCATCCTCCCTTCCTTCATCCCCCTCCACTGTCATTCCTCCTCCCCTGCTCTTTCCATCCCCTGTCACCATCCTTATTCCCTCCTCTTGAGGCACCCTCCCCTGTGGCCTCAGCCATCCCTCTGTCCCTTCGCCCCTCCTCTCTAATCCCCACCCCCCTGCTCCTCTTCCCCCTCCCACACTGCGGGTGAAGGGGGGGTGGGGTCTCGTCCTCTGTTGCCATAATGCGCATTCTTCTGATCCTCCATGTTTCTGCCCTAGCTTCCCCCCCTTCCCCCAGTAGCCTGTGAGCGTCCCTGGGCGGGTCTCCTGTCTTTGTCCCCTTTGTTCACCTGTCTTTGCCTGGCTGATGAAATCGGCCAGAAATCCTTTGTCTCCCTGGGAGGGGGGAGGGGATGGTGAGGGCCGGGAGGGGGGGGTAGGGAAAGGGGAGGAGGGAGGAAAGGAGAGGGGGGGAGGAGGAGAGAGGCCTGGCCACTGGAGGCCCCTCAGATTTTATTCGCAGTGCTTTTTATTTTTTAAAGCACATTTCACCTGGTCCTGAGAGGTGGGAACCAGGTCTCCTTATCCTCACTTTACATTGAGGCAACAGGCACTTAGCTGAGAGGCCAAGATTCTTTGTCTCTGTGCCCATATGCGTAGCCCTAGACGCTGAATTTAAAGGCTTACTGGATTGCCTCTGCTGGTCCTGGACTGCACTGAATGATAGTGGCACCTGCTTTACAAATAGCGTATCATTTTAAAAATCCTCTTAGCAGCCCTGGAAACTGAGGCAGACAGGCGAAGTGAGTCACATTGCTAGTAAGGGTCCGAGGCTGGATTTGAACTCAGGGCCTGCTGACTTAAGTCCATTGCTGCAGCCACTGTGCCAGATGAACTTTGCTGTCCCTCCTTTAATCCATCCTCTGGTGGCTGAGAGAATATTCTTCTTTAGAACCTTTTGTGGTTCTCAGGTGTGTCCAGAATGAAAGCCAGTCAATCAGTTAACAGGCATTTATTGAGTGTTAACTAGAGGCCAGACACAAACACCAGGATGACACAGGAGAAGCACGGTCCTGTTCTCGGGGTGCTTGCCATCTAACGTCCCCTAAATCGAAGGTGGGGTGATTATTTGGTTTTTCCTAATGAATTACCACTGCTCATTAAAAGGTTGCTAGGGATGGCTAAGCCCTCTTTGTCGTTCATACTCTTATGTAAGCGACCCTGGACCAGTCACCGCTCCTGTGTGCCTCAGTTTCCTTACCTGTCAAATGGGGATACCAACATCTTCAGTACCTCCTTCACAGAGTTGTTTTGGGGCTCTTGGCGGGACCATCTATGTGCACAGTGTGAAAGTTTGCTGTCTTTGTAAAATTTTTAGGTCGTGCTCACTTGGGTTTCCCCAGACAGACATTCCCTCTGGGGGACAGCTTGACGTAGCCTGTCTGGGCCAACGTGTTGTAGTTTTTGGTCACTATCCTTGGTCATTTCCTCACTCATGGCCCAGAACCTTTCTTGAGCCTGGGCCTCTACTTCCTCTGGTGGTTCAAAGATGTCTGTGATTGGTGAGAAGCACATGGGCCAGTCAGTAAATCAGCAAGGTCAGACCAGTGCTTTGGAGAAGTCCCTTTGGTAGCTGAGTGAAGGACGCATCGGAGCAGTGAGAAACTTGAGGAAGAGAAACCAATCAGAAGGCTGCTGTAGTGGTCCAGGCAGCAAGTGATGAGGCCAAGCTAGGATTTTTGGCTGGGTGGGTGGAGAGAAGGAGATGGATAAAAGAGGTATTCTGAAACGCTGAGATGAGATCTGGCAGCTGGTGGGCTGCGAGAGTTGAGGATGGCACTGAGGCGACGGGGAGGGCGGTGGTGGCCTTGACAGCTCAGAGCAGGAGGCGGGTTAGGGGGAACGATGGCGAGTTCTCTTCTGAACACGTTGAGTTTGTGATGTCTGTGGAACGGGAGTCCCAGGAGGCAGTTGGTGGCGTGTGGCTATAGCTCAGGAGAGAGGCTTGGGCTGGATGTCATCTGCGTGGAGGAGATGAGCATTGGAGCTGATGAGCTCACCAAGTGAGCAGGGTATACAGGGGAAGAGAAGAGGGCCCAGGTCAGGCTCGACCTTTGATTTCATTGACATAGACTCTTGGCTGAGGGGCCTCCCTCTACCGGTGCCAATTTGCAGAAATAGGGTTTGAACCTGGTCACAGAATGTGAGTATTGGTAAGGACTTTTTGTCTCCATTTTTCTTTTCTTTTCTTTTTTTTAAAGGCAGTTGGGGTTAAGTGACCTGCTCAGGGTCACACAGCTAGTCAGAATGTGAGTGTTGGAAGGGACCTCAGTGGCCACCTCCAGACCCACATGTGAAAAGAATCCCCACTATAACAAGGGGTCATTGACTTCTGCTTCAAGGGCAACCCACCACTTCTGGCTTTGAGTGGGACAGCTGCAAAGCAAGCCTACACTGGCTTCAGTGCAACTTCTGCCTGTGCGCTGCTGTTGATTCTGTCCTCAAGGCTCATCTCTTCTCCCCCAGTCTTCCCTTCTTCAGGCTGTTGACATCCCAGTTCTTTCAGCTACCCCTCCTGACGTGGATGGAAGCCCTCATGCTTGTCCTCCTCTGATTACCCTCCAGCTTGTTTATTCATGCCCTTTTAAATTTGTGGTGGCCAGAAGGAGGACATTTTGCTTTAGGTGTGGTCTTACCTGAGTTGGGTCCAGTGGGACAATCAGCTCCTTCTTCCTGACAGTGCTGCCCACACTCCCATTAGCATTCTTGGCCCCCACATCACACTGCTGACTCATCCAGCTTGCAGGCCCCGAAAGCCCTCCCCCCGTCTTTGTCCATTAGCCATGCCTCCCCCATCTTGTATTTGTGAAATTGAGTGTTTGAACCTGGGTGTGTGACTACATTACGTTTACATCCCTCTTGAATTTGGCTTTATTCACCTTAGCCCAGTGCTCTAGGATGGTGGTTGAGGGCCTTTTGGATCCTGAACGCACCATCAGATGTACTAGGCATCCAGTCTCCCCAGACTTTGTTTCACTTGCAGACTTGATGAGTGCACCATCATGTCTGTATCCAGGTTGTTCTTAAAGATGTCCCACAGCGTAGGGCCCAGCACAGCTTCCTGGGCAAATCCTGCCACCCAGCACTGACATCCTGCTACTACTCTACTGCAGATCGTGCCCCCCCCCCAACCCTAACACCTGCTCCCTGAATCCTGCCATCTAGTCAGTTTGGGCTCCACTTGATTATAGATCGTTTACATCTGTTTTCTCCCCAAGAATAGCAGGAGATGCTTTGTTGAAAGCTTAGTAATCCTGTCCCCAAGAGGAAGTGAGGTTAGTTTGGCATGACCTGTGCTTGATGACGCCCGGCTGGCTCTGTGGAGTGAATGCTTGCCTTTCTAGGTATGCACCAACCACCTCTTTGAATCCTGGGACAATTCTAGAATGGATCATCAGGGCCAAGCTCACTGGCCCTGTAATTTGATGACTATCACCTTCCCTTTTTGTAAAATCAGGATGACATCTGCCCTTTGGCAGTCTTTCAGTGCCTCTCCTGTTTTCCATGTTCTTTGAACTATCACTGACAGTGATTCAGACATTATGTCAGCTGCTGTCTCAGAGCTAAGAGACTTAAATTCATCCAGGGAAGCTAGCTGTTTTCTTCCCATCTCCTTATTTATCTTGAGTATCTCCCCCTCATTAGTCATTTCGGTTCTGTCGTTTGCAACGTCAAGGCCGTTCTCTTTTGTGGAAACAAAGTAAGAATGCTTTCTCTGGTGCCAGTGGTCCTCTTCTCCACTCCGTGCAAGGGTCCTGTCTCCTCTTTAATCCTCTCATTTGTCTCAGTATACCTGAAATCCCTTTTTTTTTGGTCATCTTTAGCTTTCTTTGCTAGCCTCTGCACATCTTTCTTTGCTAGCTTGCGCATTCTTGATGTGAAGTTAGAGTTAGAATTCTAACTCTGTACCTAACCTAATCCTCCTATTTGTTATGAGACCGTACTGCTTTCTTGTAGGATGGTGGTCCGCATCATTCTCAGACAAATCTCAGTTTTTGGTGGCTCGGTGAATGGAGCACTGGACTGGGACTCAGGAATAGCTGAGTTCAAATCTAGCTTTCAGCATTTAGGGTTTAGGTCTTTTAAGCTTTGTGACCCTGGGCAAGTCACTGAATGTCTCTTAGCCTCAGTTTCCTCATCTGTAAAGTGAGGATAATAATAGCACTTGACTACCTCCGAGGGGTGTTGGCAGGGTCAAATGAGATGTAAGTGCTTTGCAGACCTTAACGTGCTGTATAAGTGCTAGTTGTTCTTCTTCTCATTTGGAATTGTTTCCATGCGTCTTTAAAATTTTGTTTGTGAGAATCTCCCAGCCCTCCTGGACAGACTTTCATTGTGACATGTTAATCCATGGGATCCCCCAATCCCTCCCTGTACTCCTTCGGAAGCCTTCAAAGTCTGTTTTCTCTTGATCTAAGATTTGTGTCTGCCCATGTGGTCACTTCCTCCCCAGATTGTCCATCATTTCTACTTCAGCAGCCAGTTCCTCTCTGTGAGTGAGAACCAGATCCGGAATAGAGTTTCCCTTTTTTGTTCCGTCCCCTTTTGAAGGATGAAATAATCATTCAGGCAAGTCAAGAAGTTAATTGCAGCTCAGCCTTTTTCGGGTCCAGCAGGAGGCAGGATGTCTAAGTGCCTGTCGCTCCTGTGTGATGCCTCTGTGTCAGACTTGGGATCTGTTTCATTTGCTTCATCTGTTTCTTCCTTGGGGCCAGACAGTCTCTAGCATACTCCAGTGACAAATTCAGGCCTGTTTCTCCCTCCTTTGACCTTTGCCCAAATAATCTTCACCATGCTCCCTTTCCTTTGTGGTTCCTAAATTTCCACCCATGAGCACACCTTCCTATCTTGCCCCTGCTTTTACCTGCCTTGTTTATCCAATAAGGTGTGCCCATGCAGAGCCGTGGCACAATCACAGTTTCGTCCCCCAGGCCTCAGTGATACTTAGCACCCCATGGGTGAGGGCTCTGGTTTGTTGCCTGCACTCTGGACCTTTGTGTGCGTGCTCTTGAGGCCACGGCTTGGTCGGTTTGTTTTTTCTACTCCTCTTTTCTTGGGTTTTGTCTCCTGGGAATTTCTGGGCGTCTCACGGTTATTCTTCCTTCTTTGTGGCTGCTTGCTATAGTATCTAGCTTGGAGGAGGATACACGCAGGCACTCTTCTCCGTCCTCCATCCTTTTTGGTTTAAAGTCCTTATATATTTGTAAAGCACCCAGCAAATACATTTTTGTAGTTTTTGTAGCTATGTGCCATCCCTGACCAGGACTCTGGCAATCTCATGCTTAAAGTCAGGGATCCAGATGTCCAAAAGGCCTTCTCAGGCACCCCATCCTGAGTGCACTCGCTGGTCATCTCATTTCAAACCAAGCACCTTATCATTCTGGGAAGGTAATTTGTATACGAAGCGGCCATGTAGCACTGTGTACTGGAGTTAGGGAGACCCGCGTTCTAAGCTGGCCATGGGACTGGGCAATTAACCACTTCCCTTTTCAATTTCCTCATGTATAAAATGGCGATTATAATAGTCCTCACCTCCGAGGGTGGTTGTTAGGATCAAATGAGGGGATGTTTAAAATGCTTTGCCAGCCTTAAAGGTCTCTGTAGTTGTTCTTCTTTTTAACGACAACCCCACTTATGGGAAGTTTGAATACGTTTGTATCCCTGTTTTAAGCACGCGAGTAGCAAGCGCTATTATTTCTGTGGGGCTTCAAGGTTTGCAGAGCGCCTTCCCGAGGCTCAGAGGAGTGACATAGAGGGTCTTAAATTTAGAGCTGGAGAGGAGCCCCCTGCCCCACCCCCCCATTTTACAGATGAGGAAATCAGGAAGGTCCAGTGACTTGTCCAGGGTCTCACAGCTAGTAAGTATCCGACGAACTGGGTCAGCAAGTGCTTCTTAAGCGTCTACTACAGATCAGCTGTGGTGCCAGGGGCCGGGAATACAGAAGTGGGAACGGAAGAGATGCTGCCCTCAAGGAGATTACAGTCTGCTGGAGACAGTTAACATTTCCATTTACAAAGAATAGAAAAAGAGCATTCTGTTTGGGGAAACAAAAGGAAAAGATGTCAGTGTTCACCCAGTGTTTGTGAAAGCAGAAGTGTGTATTAGATTTAACAACATGGTGGTGGTGCTCGTCTGTGCCTGCTCCTTAACTTCCCTCTGCTCTCTGCTTGGCCATCTCGGAAAAGGTAAGTACCAGTGTGCACGTGCAGTCTGCCCCCTCCTCAGGGGTGGGTGGCACGCTCCCCTGGCGCTCCTGGAATTTGTCTTCCTTTGCATTCCTTTGCATTTTTGTAGTCATTGTGGGAATTGTTCTGGATCTGATTTCTTCACCCTGCCTCAGTTCATGCAAGTTTTCCCAGGTTTCTTTGAGTTTACCCCTTCTGTCATTTCTTGGGGTTCAGTAATATTCCATTATATTCATATGTCATAATTTGGTCATGCATTCCTCAGTTGGTGGGGACCTGCTTTGTTTCCAGTTCTTTGCTATAACAAAAAGCTGCTGTAAATATCTTTGTATTTACCTCTTTCTTTGGGATGTATGTACCTAGTAATGGGATTAGGGAGTCAGATGGTGTTCACACAGGTTAGTGACTTTGAGGGGCATAAGTCCAAATGAGTTTCTGGAGTAGCTGAGCTACCTCCGAGCCCGAGCGATGGTGCATTATCGTGCCTGTTTTCCCACAGATCTTCCAGCAGTTTGTCATTTCTCTTTTTTGTCGCCTTTCCCGATCTGATAGGCATGAGTGGAACCTCTCTCACTGTTAGCAGTTTGGAGCGGGTTTTATGTGGCCGTGGGGGCTTTGGAAGTCTTCTTTTGAAATGGAATTATTTTTCTTTGTTATATGAACCCAGCCTTTATTGCAAGAATTTGATACAAAGTGTTTTCACCATTCAGCTCTTTTCCTTTTCCTTATTCTGTGTGTGTTAATTTTGTTTGTACAGAGGCTTTTCAGTTTGATATAATAAGAATTATCTATTTTATCACCTGTAACTATTTCTGTACTTTGTTGATTGAGTATTCTTAATGTATCTCCTACTCAGCCGTGAAAAGTATATGATCTGCTTTTGTTCAGATTTTATAAAATAGTATGTACGATCTTTAAGGTCATAGATACATTTACAGCGTATTGTGGAATATGGTGTATAGGGTGTTAGTCCAAGCCTAATTTCTGCCACACTTCTTTCATTTTCCCAGCAGTTTTTTTTTAAACAAAGAGGGAGTTCTCTCCTAAGGAGTCTGTGTTTTCTAATTTATTAAACACTGAGTTATTGAGCCCTGTCGTTCCTGGGTCTCCTTTGTGTAGCTGTTCTGACTGAGCTGCCTCTTTTCTTTCCTAACCAACAGCAGGTGGTTGTTGACGGAGGCTTTATATAATAGCTTGAGGTGTGGAAGTGCTATGACACACCCCCACCCCCACCCCAGACCTCTTTTCATCATTTCATGTGACATTCTACATCTCTTATTTTTCACATGAGTTTTGTTGTTATTTTATCAAGTTTTGTAAAATATTCCTTTGGTAATTTGATTGACATGCATTAAAAGCATAAGTTAACTTTTGATACTGTGGACAGTTTTGATATGGGCCAGGCCCCAGGAGTGCCCAACTCATCCTCCAGCTGTTTACACTGTTCTTTGTTTCTCTGCTGAAGGAGTGATTTCTAATTGAATCTGAACAAGTCTTTCATGTGCCTCTAGATCGATCCCCAGTTGCTTTGTGCAATTTGTAATTACTTGGAGTGGGATTTCCCTTTTTTAAATTGTTATTCTATAAAGATGCTGTTGCTTTTTGAGGGTATCTTTTGTAGCCTCCAACTTTGTCGAAGCCATGATTGTCCTGATGCCATTTTCACAGCGCTGTGCCAGGCGTTTATGTTCATCCTTTGTTCTGGCCTCTCTTCCATCCTCTGTCTATTTCTTTGTAAAATCTGCCAGTTGGTGAGTTCCCCGGGCATCCACATGGACCTCCACAGACAAATTCTGTTTTTCTTCTTCTTTGAAATTGTTTCTTATTTTGTCTTCAGAATTTTATGTTTGAGCAACTCCCATCTTTCCCAGATGGACCCCTTCTGAAGCATCTCAGTCCATGGGATTCTACGTACCTTTCCTCTGAACCCTCTCCTTCTTGATCACAAACTCTAGGGTGGACTGAGTGGTCACTTTCCTGAAGGGTTTCCATAATTTGCACCTCAGTGATAATTTCTTTTTTTTCTTTCATTTTTTGAGCTAAATTATTTTTTTCAATCTGTAAGCATTTATTTTCTTTCCCTTCTACCTCTTGCTTCCCTATTAGGAAAAAAAAAAGAAAAACAAAACTTTTGTGGTAAATATAGCTAAGCAAAACAAATGTCTGCACTGGCTGCATCCAGGAAGCATCTGTCTCTTTCTGTGCCCTGCGTCCCTCCGCTCTCTATCAGGAGGGGAGTAGCACGCTGCCTCATCAGTCCTCTGGCACGGCGGTTGGTCACTGCATTGATTAGAATTCCCAGTTCTTTCACAGTTGTTCATTTTTCCAGTGTTGCTGCAGTTGTATAAATGGTCCTAGTGGTTTGCTCCCTCCCCGCTGCATCAGTTCACACAGGTCTTCCAAGGGTTCGCTGAAATCATCCCTTTTGTCATTCTCACAGCGCTGCATTATTCCATTACATTCATACACCACAATTTGATCTTTTAGTCTCCAATTGAGATTAATATCCAGCCTTTTACTTGACATTTCTTTTTGGGAGACACTGTTAATTGCACTTTCTTTAAAGGCATGCTTTTTCACATAAGAAAATTCTCCTCTGTGTTCTGTTGGTGTTTTATTTTGTGGGAGGTCAGGTGGCATCTCCCAGTCCCTGCTTGTAACCCGACCTAGCTGCCCAGACCTGTGGGTTTCTAGCAGGAAGGGCTCTAGAGATGAGCTGCTCTGGCCCCATTGCCGCCCACCTCCCTTGGGGAGGGTCTGGGCCCGCGGCCTGTGCTGTACCTTCGGTGGTCCTCTGCCACCTTTCTGACCTTGTAGAAGTCTGTCCACGGGCTTCATTGCAGCCTGGTGCCAGGCCCGGGCCCAGGAGCCGTGTTGGCTGTGGAGGTTGCCGGGAATGACCGAGAAGCTGCCGTATGTGGTAGCCAGGTCGGGGATCTCTTGTCCTCTGCCTGCACCATGCTGATGTTTTCTCTTTTGCTCTGTAGAGAAAATTCTGCTACGGGACATCCAGGCCTTGACCCTCCACCGAGACCGCTTCACCACTGCGCGCAGGACTGCACCCATCCCTCAGCTGCAGTGCCTCGGCGGTTCAGCTGGATGTCCAGCCCACATCCCTGAAATCGTGCAGTGCCGCAACAAAGGCTGGGACGGCTTTGACGTTCAGGTACCAGCAGCGGTGGGCTGGGAGCCACCGGGAGGGGGCCTGGCCAGGTGTCGGGGCCGGCAGCCGCCTGATCGGCCGTGACTTGTCTAGGGTCATGTGGGGAGTCCCACTGAATCCTCTCCCTTCACTGCCTTGATCCTGAAATCCTCTGGGATGGACTGGGACCATTCGGCCTCACAGGACCTGCACTCATTTGCCGTCCTGAGGGGCAGCATGTCCTGGTGGTCAGTCTTCCTTGGTTGAGGTCTCTTGGACCTGAGTTTGAGCTCTGACTTCCCTGTATACTGGTTGTGTAACCCTGGGCGAGTCGTGGGACTTCTCTTCCCTGCCCCCTGCCCAGGGGGAGGGGAGAGCAGCTGTTGATCTGCATTGGGAGGGGGGCTTTCCTCACTGGAATCTTGGGTCTGGTTCCCTTCCCATCTTCTCCCCCAAGAAGAAGGCAGAATAGATTTTATACATCCCAGGATCTGGAAGCTTTGGTGTCAGGGATTGTGGGATCACAGCTGTGGAGCCTCGAGAGATCCCCTAGTGCACGTGGAGAGAGGCAGAACAGAGCCTGCGGAGAAGGGCTTGCAGGAAGCTCTGGAGGCAGGAAGGGCTTTCCCAATAGCAAGAGGAGGCCAGCTGTCTTTCTTCTGCCCCTCTGCAGTGGGAGTGTAAAGCAGAGCTCGACACGTCCTACCGATTTGGCAAGACCGCTGTGAGCTGCGAAGGTTACGATTACCCCGATGATCCCTATGTGCTCCGCGGCTCCTGCGGCTTGGAGTTCAACTTGGAGTTGACGAGCAAGGCCGGAAGAAATACAAAGATGCCAGTGGTGGTGACGCCAACAGCCACGGGAACACCTATGGCTCCAATTACTTCCCCGGGTACGTTGAGAAGATGGATTCCCCTGTGCCCTCCAGCACCAGAGGCCTGTTGGCCGTCGTCATCCTGCTGGTGCTGGCCTTGGGCGTTTATAAGCTCTTTCTGAAAGCCCAGAATGAGGATCTCCCCCCGCCCTACACTGAGCATCCCCAGGACCACCAGAGGTTCTTCCAGGCGTCCCCACCCCCGCCTCCTCCTCCCCCAGGCTTCAAGTCCTATTTCACAGGTATGTTACCATGGCTCCTTTCCCCCAAGGGATGGCTTGCAGTGTCTCTTGTGAGTGTGGTGACCATTGCTGAGTCCCTGGAAGGGACTGGATGTCACCATCCCCCAGAGCTCACGGGGTTGGGCGGGGGTTCCAGGGCATTTTGAAGACCCCGTGATCCTCAGGTCAAAAGTGGCACTGCAGGGAGATTGAATCCTCGGCCATGACTTAGGGCATTCGTATGGTGTTGCCACATCTGTGGTGGATTAGGTTAGCGGTGGGCCTGGAATCAGAAAGACTCATCTTCCTGGATTCAAATCTGGCCTCAGACCCTTACTAGCTGTGTGACCCTGGGGAAGTCACTTGATCCCATTTGCCTCAGTTTCCTCATCTGTAAAATGAGCTGGAGAAGGAAGCAGCAGGCCACTGCAGTGTCTTTGCTGAGAGAACCCCCAGCGGGGCCACGGAGAGTCGGGCACAACCAAACCGCAGCCAGTATCGCCACGCCACGGTGGCGACCCTTTTTCTCATTTGTGAAGTAGGTGACCTTCAGCGTTCCTTCCAGCAGTGACCCCAGGATCCTGTGGAATCCAGGGTGGAGCGACCTGGCAGATGGTCCGGTCCAGACCCCTCATTTTACTGATCGAGAAACTGAGGCCCAGCTTAGTTAAGGGAGAAGAGTTAGAGAACCTGGCGGTCAGGAGGACCCACCTAGGGAGAGACCCCTGACGGGGGGAGCCGGTGAAGGGGGGTAGACAGACGGGGCCGGCAGAGCCAGGACACGTTGGTGTCACTTCTGAAATCCCCTCTCTGGGCTGTGTGCTTTAGAGGAAGCGAGAGTGGATCGGCAGGGGGAGGGCCTGGCGTCGAGTCTCGTCCTGGGCGCCTGGCTCTTGTGGAGAACCTGGGCTTTCTGAGAGCCGATCTGCCAGGGGAGTGGAGGCAGCCTCCTCCTGGGCGGGGGGCCTGGCTGGTCCTGGGGTGGCCTCCTGGGGAAGGGTATTCCGGGCTGACCCTTGTCTCTGCTGTTTGCATTAGCATCGGGTACCCCAGGCTGGGGCTTTGGCAACTCTTTCACGGGTCCCCGAGCGTTTGGCCAGTCTGGCCCTGGATTCTGGACTGGATTGGGGACTGGTGGCCTTTTAGGCTACTTGTTCGGAAACAACAGGTAGGGCCCCCCCCCGCTACCCCTCTCCTCCACCCCCCTTTGGTCTGGGTGTCTGGGACACCTTCTTATCCTGGGGTTTAATGGGAGTGAACAGGACTCTTTTCTTCAGGCTCCGTGAAAGTAACAGGATGGGTATGGGACACGGTGGAGGGCTTGGGGTCAGGTTTTCCCTGTAAATACAGGGGTAAGACTCCTTTTCCTGCTGTTGCTTGACATTTAGGCAAGAGAAAGAAACAAAGACGTAGAGGCAAGCCAAGAGGTGATCGTTTACTTGGACAGTCTCAGGGAATGACTGAAGCGAGCAATTGCCAGTGATTAACAGTGTCTGGCAGCAGTAGGCAGTTAATGAATGCTGGTCGACTTGTCAGTAGCATTGTGATAAACATTCATAAAAACCAGCAGCATTTTGACAGTGTGATGACAAGCTCCAGGGATACTGGTAGCCGGAAGGAAGCCCTATCCACAATAACTACAAAATGCATCTGCTTTGTGGGAGTCAATCACACTCAGTACCCGTGTAGCTGCATTGCCGGAGGCAGTGTAAGCCAGGGGTGGTGGTGTGCACCTGTAATCCCTGCTCCCAGCACGCTGAGGTTGGTGCATCGTGTGAGCTCGGGAGCTCTGGCTGCTGCAGGTTAAGCCATAAGCTGTTTGCGCCAAATTGGGCACCAGTATGGTGAGCCCCCAGGAGCCAGGGCAGGGGGAGGGCACCAGGCCGGCCTGTGTTGGGAATGGAGCAGGTCAGACCTGATGGGCAGTGGGATCGGGGCCCGGGAGCGGCTGCTGCTTTTCCAGCCAAGGTGGGGCAGGGAGATTTGGTCTCCAAACAGACCCGACAAGGAAATACCAAAAGACTTAACTAATGGGATATTTGCCGATAAAGTTAAAATGGTGTCCGATGTACTGAGCAGATCTGTGCTGTGCCAATAGGCTGACCAGGTGGAGTGTTTAGAAAGCTAGACAGAGGAATGGTGAAGTCCATTTGGAGGACACTGGAGATCTGGGCCTCAGGGGAAACAGGGTGAAGGGGTGGCTGGGCCCCAAACGTTGTTTGGCTGCATTTCATTTCTGAACTTGTTCTTGAATAAACATTGGAGCCCTGCTCCTCGCCCCTATGATCACATTAGCTTGAAACACGAGACGCACTGTTTCTGAAACTGGGTCTGAATCGCCAACTCAAAGCAAAACCCCCAGAGCTGAGTCTCCCCTTTGTCCCTTCTTGCTTTCCAGGGCCACGCCCCTGTCGAACACTTGGACTCATCCTGCGTATCCTCCCCCGTACTTCAACACCTGGAACAGTCCGGTGCCCCCGTCCGCGCCCGCTAATTCCCGGAGCTCTGGGTCTTCCTCGAGCTCCAACACGGGGACGAGGACCACGTCAGGTGAGTTATGAGCCTCCTTCTGCAGCCTGGGCTCCCTGCTGGTGGTCACTGAAGTCAATCCAGACCCCTCTTTAACAGAGAGCTCCTCCTGGCCCCCACCATCTTTTTAATTTTGGACTGACTGGATCTGGGATAGCCATTCCCATGACTGGTCAAGGGAATGGTGCCTGATGAGGCAGGTCCCTCTTACTGATGGAGGTAGGGGCCTTCCTGTTCAGGGTCACACAGGTGGGAATGACCAGAGCTAGGTGTCAGACTCAGATCTGATGAGGAGCAGTAAATATTCTTTCTCCGTCCACTTTGGGCTGGGTTCTGACCAGTCAAGTTAATGAGGAAGGGAAGATTTTTAAGTTCTGCCTTATAAGGAGCACTTGGTGGAAGTCTGAAAATGCTGACCCTGTGAAAATGACTTGGATGCAGGCATTGTGTGCCTGCTGCCTCTGTGCCGTTCGGGCTGGCCTTTGTAAGAGGGCCGGTGCCAGCGCCTTTGTTTAGCTGCCTCCCGAAGTGTTGAGATTGACCTCCTGGTGCTTCTGTTTTTCTCGTTCCAGGGTTTGCCGCCACCAAAAGACGTTAAGAAGATAAGGCGGATGAATAAACCCTTCAGACGCAAATTTCTTATTTTGGGGTCACTTTCTCTTTAAAAAGCTATGTACTAAGAACTGTGGGAAGAAACCTTGTTCAAGTTTAGAGGCGGATGATTGCTTGTAACACTCTTCGTCGTCAGTTCTGTAATATAGCTAAGAGTTGGGCTTGTCTGTAGGTGGGTCTGGCGACCCTTGGCCGCCTCAGGCAAGTGGTTTTGGCAGCTTCCGAAGGATGCACGCTGTCCTGGCCCCTTGAACATCTGCCCTCCCCTTCCCCCGCTGCTTTCTGCATTCCCGCAGCAGACAGGACCACCGAAGGAGCCTCTGGCAAGGTGCTGCCTGCAGAGAAGTCTCTCTCTGGCTCGGTTTCCATCTCAAGAGGCTCTCTAAACCGTTGATGGGAAATTGACCCCAAGACCCCATCTCCCATATTTACAGTTTTGCTGCATTGCCCTGTAGGGTTTGGTGATTGGGGCAGGTTTTTCAGGCACTTCCCAAGCTTGGGGCTCACTAATTGGATCAGGCTGTCTGTGCAAAGGGAAGCTTCTGGGCGTGGCAGGGGAGTCAGAATGGGGAGACCGGGATGGGGTGGGGGGGGTGCTGTAGCAAACCTTAGAGAGGTGCCTTTTAGAATTGGAAGGGGTGGGTTTTTAAGGGTTGCCCAGGAAGTTCTGGTAGCAGCCCTTGTCACCTGGAGGGATGAGACCCCCCATGCGAGCCTCCGAGAAGCGAATTGTGATGCCACTTTTTTCTTTCTGAAGAGCCCCCTGTTGACATTTTTGCACCCCAGTCCTGCTTCCTCCAGCCGTTTTCCCTGTCGTGTTGTGAGACTTGGTTTCTTGGGCCCCAGGCTGGTAGTAGAAGTTCTGAAAGAGCCGGTTGTGATCTCCCGGCCTCAGATGGTCCCAATGCTTGTGGGTTGCCTCTGGCCCGACCTCTGTGGCTGTCAGTACAGCTGCGTGAGATGGCTGGGAAGCACTGGGTGTGCGCCATCAGCAGCCTCTTGTTTCTGAAATGCGGGTTGGAGGCGGGTTGCTGGTCAGTGGAGCTGGAATCATCTTGGCCTCGTCGGCAGAATGGAAGTGGGGAAGAGCACTTTTCCTTTTGGCCAGGTGAGCTGGTTCAGTCCTGGCCCCTGATCCTTTCTGAGTAGCAGGGAGTGGGTGCTGTGTTCTGTTTTTTCAAACACTGCTGGTGGTTTGGCAGTAGGCAGCTATTTTTCAGGTGAGAAGAGTCAGGAACTAGTCTGGGCTCCACGTTGGGTTGCTTTAGGAGGTGTGGCTGGGGACCTGCGAAGTCTGGAGATGGTGTGATTCAGCCTCTGCCCTCAGAAGCCCAGTCCTCCTAATGCACCACCACTGTCCATGGTGCTGCTCAGGACACTTGGGGGCTCCAATCAATAGATCAATTTAGCTCCTCTCTGCCAGGCACTGTGCTGGGAGCCCTCGCTGGACTTACATTCATTCCAGCAGGAGGCAGCTTGTCCATAGCGTAGGTGTAGACGTGGAGGGAGGGCGGGAGGGATGGGCAGGGGGGTCCTGGCAGAGGGAGGGGGCGAGGGGGAAGGCTGCTCTGCCCAAAAGGCAGTGCTGGAGGGGTGGGAGGAAGTGCCTTGGGCACGGCTGCTGCTGCTGCGATTGACCTGGTGTCGAGGGTGTTTCAGATCTTCCATTCCCTTCTAAATCTGTGTCTTTGCTGTTGGTGCCCACAGCTGCTTGTGCTTGTTATGTTCTTGTTGTGTTCTGTAAGACATCTCTTTGCTCTTTTTCCCTTTCTTGAACTTCAATAAATTAAGCTTGGCCCCAAGGGAGAGTCCTGCCTCCACTTTGTTCCCGGTCGACCCTTGTGTGGGTGGACCTGCAGTTCACCGAGATTGGCCCGGCCTGGCCTTGTTTTGGTGGCATTGGTATCATGTGGGCTGCCACGGCTTGTGGCAGTGAGGCTGGGGGGAGGTGGGATGCCTTGGTTTACGCTGAGCTTTGTGGAGGTGCTGAAGAGACTGTGACAGTCCTGGTTGTGATGGCCATGAGTTAGAACCTTACCCTCATGCAGCTGATGATCTGATGGGATTCTTTGAAGCCACAAATGTCCTGGGGAAGATACAGGATCAGTCAACAGACAGTGCCTACTGTGTGTCACCCTGAGCAAATCATTGACGTTTCTAGGGCCTCGAAGTTATTCTGTAAAACGAAGCAGCCCAGCTTTAAATCTGTGACCCTCAGTTGTACAATGGAGGTCACAACTTGGACTACCTGGTGGCCCATGGACTTTGCGGTGTTCCCCCTGAAGCTGTGATCTGTGTTAATCATGGGATTGGCCCCATTTGCCTGGGGGCTGAGGTGGGGGAGACTGGGACCAGGCAGCCCTGCTTGACACAGGCCCTCAGGATCTGAATAAGGACCCACAGTGTAGGGGGTGAGCGGTGGGGGTGGGGCAGATGGTTCTGCATTCCCTCTTGGAGTGTCTGTAAGCAGCTCTAGCCATAGCGCCCTACAGAGCAGACAGTTGTCTAGGAAGAACACGGCATCTGGTGATGCAGCCATGAGCACTGACCTACGTGATTCTGAGAAGAGGTTGAGAAGAGGTTGTTCGCTACACTGCCCCACAGGGATCCGTGACACAAAAAAGACGAAGAACTGCTGGTCTGGTTGCTGGGTGCTTTTCTTCATTCAGTTTTAGCCATGAGGCTAGTCTGTTCAGTGTTCATGGATCTCATCAAGGTCTTGTATCTTCCGTAAATGAACATCTGAAGACCCTCTCCAGTTGCGAAAGCCGTCTTCCACTGGGCCCTTGTTCAAGATGTCCTCCATGACTGTTGGCTGCCTGTTTTATGCCTTACTTGACCATAGAGGGCCATTGAACAGTTACATGGTTGCCTTTATCAAGGAATCTTGTGATAACACATGGAGGAGATTCCCTGGTGGAAGGAGTAACAGCCCACAAGCTCTTCTGCTCTCCCAATCAAATCCTTTTTTTTTTTTTTGTCATGGGGAGGGGGAGGGAGCAAGGTTTACTGCCAAATGGAAATTCTCCAGGAGCTTGATGGAACCGACTCCTTTTCTTTCTGTCTCCCCTGGAGAACCTGTGAGCCATCCTTTAACTGAACCACAGCTTCCCTGGGCTTTCATCATAGCTCAGTTCATCTAATAGAGTATGTCAACTCCTTGGTTGTTGGGTAGAGATCTTGCATTGAGAGTGTTGGAAAACTGCATGATTAACACTCTCAGCTGCCTTTTCTGCCACGGTCACCTCATAAGTAAAAGGACACCACATTGGAGTGAGGGCTTATTTATTTTAAAAGAATTATGTTGTCATATCCAAAGGCAGCATCCCTAAGTGGTCAGCCGGCCAGTGATGAGCCTTTGGGATTTGGCAGACCCACTACGTTGCCAGGATTCCACACACAGCCTTACTGGCATGGCAGAACATACCCAAGCTGGCCGCCATTGACACAGTCATTGAGAGCCCAGGTCACCTTCATATCATGATGAGGCACCAGAGGAGACCTTGTGGAGGATGCAAATGATCATTAGGGAATGGTTGTCCATTTCACAAAAGGATTTCTATGGATGAATTTTTCTACTCTATGATCTCACTTGGAAAACTTAATTTATACATAACTTTTATATAGTATATAATTGGTACATAACCCTTGTGGCCATGGTGCCCAAGCTCCCACCCAAAGCTGGCATGCCGTTGCTTCTCTCTGCACACTCACAATACTGGAAGCTACAGTCCATTCCATCGTTGGACAATCATAACAAAGCCGATATCGGTGTACGTTTCATTTTCACCCATTGGTCTTGCTCCTGTTGCCTTCAGAAGCCACACAGAACAAGGTTAATCCATTTTTAACCCCTAAGCCCCCAGAAATATTTGAAGATAGCTTCTTTATTCATCTCTAAATATGCCAGCTTCCTCGGCTGCTGCTCAGATGATGTCTCCAGACCCTCCTCATTAGTGGTACCCTCTTCACACGATAATCCTGTTTCTCAATGTCCCTTGTTGATAGCAGTACCCAGAATGGTGCACCATGCCCAAATTTTGGTTGACGAGGGGCAGAGTACAGTGGCACTACTACTACCCCCTCTATCAATGAATATTTATTAAGCACCTCCTACTTGTCAGGCAGCATGTAAGACATTGGGGATATAAAGATGAGAGTGAGGCTAACCCTGCCCTCCAAGAGCTCAACTTCTAGGAGAATGTAACATTAATGCAAGAGCAAATGCAGGATATCTACAAAGTAATGGTTTTTTGTGTGTGTGTATTTTATTTTCTGAGGAGGAGAAATAACAATTAGGAGAATCAGGAAGGGCATTGAGAAGGAGATGGTCCTTGAGCTGAGCACTGAAAGGAGCTAGGAGTTCCCAGAGTCAGAAGGAAGGAAGGTGGTAGAGCATGTTAGGCGGGGGAAGGGGGGAGGTACATACAGCCCATGCAAAGCTATGAAACTAGGATTAGGACTTGAGAGGATGGTAGTGTCACATGAAGATTTTTAAAGGATGGGTGAGAGTTGGGGATCCCATTTCTGAAGGTTGCTGCCCATGGGCAAGTTGTGTAGCCTCCCTGGGTTCAAGTTCCTCATCCATATGAGATAATGGAACTCGATGGCCTCGAGGCCAAATACTATGACCCTATGTTTATAGAAAGCATGGAAGGAACCAGTGGGTGAAGAGAGGTTAAAAATGATGGAGGAAGGGATGATTTTGAGAGGCCAAGATCTTGGTGGAGATGGGACTCATTTGAGGTGTTAGTGTTGTCAAGAGGAATGGTCACCTTATCCTCTGAGACTGGACCAAAGGAGAAGGGGGAGGTGTTGTTGAGGTGATTTCAAGTGTGGGATTATGGAGGAGGGAAAGCTTGCCACAGATGGCCTTCATTTTTTTTTTTAGTGAAATAGGAGAAGGAAGGAGGTGGGATATGTGGCTTGAGAAGAGGTTTACAGTCACGTTTGGAGAACAATTTGGAACTTCGCCCAAAGGGCTATCAAACTGTGCATACCCTTTGACCCAGCGGTGCCACTAATAGGTCCATATCCAAAGAGATCAAAGAGAAAGGAAAACAACCAATATGTACAAAAATATATATAGCAGCTCTTTCTATGGTGGCAAAGAATTGGAAATTGAGGGGATGCCCATCAATTGGGGAATGGCTGAACAAGTTGTGGTATATGAGTTTAATGGAATACTATTGTGCTAGAAGAAATGATGAAGAGGCTGACTTCAGAAAAACCTGGGAAGACTTGTAGG